GCTCTTACACGGGCTCTGACTGCATCCCGCGCACGACCCATGGCACAGCTGCATGTCAGCTCTGTAAAGACGTTTGGCCATGTCTGCGTCCTGTCCCGGGGCCACCCCAAGCTGTCCTGATGTCACCCCCCATTGCTCCCTCCGACCCGCGCCACAGCGTCCGCATTGGTCTCGCTGGTCTGTTCTGTTGTCCATGGTCCGTGTCCCTGACAGCGTTCAGGCCCGGAAGGCACCCTTGTCACTGCGTGACCTCTGCATGTGGCAGGGCTGACAGGTAGCCAGCATCCAGACGGAGGGGTGAGCGAGTCCCTTTGTCGCGGAACGCCCCAGAGGGCACTGGAAGCAAAGCAAAGAAGCTGCTTACACATCGGTTTAGCAAAGAATGTCTTCCCAGGTGCAGAGGCGGCCAGGTGACAGCACACGCCCAGCCCCTCTGCTCCCAGCCTTCCTGCACCACCAAGACCCCTGGAACTGGGGCTTGTGAGGACCAGAAACCAAGTATCTCGTCAGGCCTCTCAGAAAACTTTCTGTGTTAATAGTTCCAGAGGCAAAGCATGAGGAACGTAACTGCGTCAGCTCCTGGCCTTGGTGACAGCAGTGCCTCACAGCGAGAGGCCCACGGCCACCGCGCCTTACCCTGAACCAAGTGACCGCACATGGGGACAGTGACCACACAGGAACAGTGACCACACACTGGGACAGTGACTGCACATGGGGACAGTGACCACACAGGAACAGTGACCACATGGGAATAGTGACCGCACATGGGGACAGTGACCACATGGGGACAGTTATCAGCACATGACAGTGACCACACATGGGGACAGTGACTGCACACGGGGACGGTGACTGCACACGGGGACGGTGACCGCATGGGGACAGTGACCACACGGGAACAGTGACCACATGGGGACAGTGACCGCACACGGGGACGGTGACCGCACACGGGGACGGTGACCGCACACGGGGACGGTGACCACACACGGGGACAGTGACCGCACACAGGGACGGTGACCGCACACGGGGACAGTGACAGCTCATGTGGACAGTGAGCAGCTCCCAGGGTGATCACCAGCGTGCTGCGGCCATTCCAGCGTGTCATGTTTAGCACCGGGCGTAGCTGGGGCCCATGACAGGCATTCGGAAACTACTTGTTTTAATAAATTCTTGTGGCGTCACCTTGGGGTCTGAGGACCTGCAGGCCGTGTCCCTCATTGATCTCGTCACCATCTGTTTGTGGTTAGATTCAAGGCGGCAGTAAAAGCACTTTGAAAGCCGTCAGTCACCGTGCCAGCCTGAAATGCCGCGGGGGTCA